CTCTCTCTCTCTCTCTCTCTCTCTCTCTCTCTCTCTCTCTCATTTTTGCCTCCTTGTCAGCTTTGGTGAAAGAGAAGTATTTTACTTTTTTGTTGTTGTCATTGTTGTTTTTGAGACAGGGATTCTCTGTGTAGCCCTGACTGTCCTGGAACTCATGGAGATCAGCCTGCCTCTGCTTCCTGAGTGCTGGGATCAAAGGAGTGCACTGCCACCACCCAACTAAAGAGAAGAAGCATCCTTAGATGTTTATTTCTCAAGAAAGTTCTTGGATAGCATGCTTGTGATTAAACTCCACTCTGCTCTGGATCCTTCACTGATGCCTCTAGTTCTCAACTCATTTCTTTGCCCCTGAGATGCACATGATGTTTTTTCACTGCAACTATCTTAAATCCCGGGGACATCTTCAGGAGCATTTGGAGCACCTCACATCAAGGATCGGGAGTACAGAGATATGGTACTATTAGTTCCATTTGACAGCAGCCCACCTGGCAACTAAGCCACATTATTGTACATGCTGATGTGGTCAGCCATGGGAATGCCTCTGCTGATTCGATGCTTCATTTACAGTGGAGTTATTCTAAGGAGAGTGCAAGTTGGCCAAGTGAGTCTCCCATATATAAAGCAAGGGCCATTGGGATGGATGAGAAAAGATCCATCACACCTCTGAATGCTAAACGAGTGCATCCTTCTATGTATTTTTTCAGGGTGTCTGAGCTATGCTGGTGTAGAGACCTAAAAGAGTTTTCAAGTAAAAAGGGCACAGTGGATGCACCTAGCCTTCCTTTCCAACCCCTGTCTACATGGAGACCCTGCCCGTAGTGCATTCTTTCATCCCATTCAATGGTTGCAGCTAGCCAGTCTTCTGATCTCCGATATTTGGGAAACTGGACTGAGGACCAAAAGTTCAAGGCCAGCCTGAATAACTTAGCAAGTGCCTGTCTCAAGTTTTTATAAGACAAGTGAATGGCTGGAGATGTAACTCTGTGGCAGGGCACTTTCCCAACAAGTGCAAAGCCCTGGCTTCAATTCCCAGCACTGTTACAAAAACCAGACACAGTGCTTATCGCACGTTAACATGGAGACCCAAGGTTGTGTTTAAATATAGATAGAAGCTTCAAGGTTGCACTTCAGACAAGCTCCAAATGACATCAGATCTACTGATCCATAAACAGGATACTGAGTATGGAGCCTGGTCTACAGAAGGCGGCTTGTTAGAAATAAAGACTCTCTAGATCTAAATCTGCACTTTAACAACACCTCAGAAACAAATGCTTGAATCCCTAGGTGGGACAGGTGATGGGCTGGACAACTAAAGGGATAAAGACAACATCGCTCTTGTGATTTTTGTCAACAGTTTGCTTCATAACCAGAGTCTGCAGGTGAATGCGCATGTGTTGAAGAGTAAGAAGAGCCTACTGTTTTCAACTCAACCGCTTTGCTTGGGGGGGGGATGAGATGGGGTGAGTGTTGTGCTCTGGGTGGATCGGAATCG